GCATAACTTTTTTGTAACCGTATTCAAAATTTTCTCGATCAACATCAGAAATACAGTCATCAAACATGTTTTTCATTACTTCTAAAATATCCTCTTCTCCAGTCTCTTGTAAATCCCCAATTTCGTCTTCATTTTCTACCACATTTTCATCTTGAGTATTATTGCTGCTATTCGATCTGGTGCTATTTATGCAACCATTGACGAATTCCGCAGAATCAGTCTCTAAATCAGCCTTCAAAACTGGCAACTTGAATGGTACCGGGAGATACGAGCCCAACGGCCTACCATTATTTGGACTTTTGCGAGGTGTCTTGGCGATGCCACGTGGTATATATCCAGGTGCTGATACATGTAAAATTGTAACAATGACCCGACTTGCAATTAAGTAATCCGTTGTGATTTGAAACTTTTCCCTGTCTTCAGCGGTTTGCTCGTCTACTCTACCAAGTGCAACATAACTACTCGAACCTTTCGGTCTAAATCTCACATAGGTTCCAGGGACAACAATATTACCAAAGGAGAGACGTGTTCCAACTTCCGGTAACGTTACAGCCTTTTCGTAAATTTTCAAAGACGCCCAAGCATCCATAGCAGCATATTTTTTTTGAACTTCTGACAAACAAGATACACTCCAGTCTCCAATCCTTTCGTCTTTGTTGAGCTTGTACCCCAATACTTTTGCTGAAATTTCAGACAGACTGAGTTTGCCATGATCAATCAAATTTCGACTTTTGCAAAAAGTCCCAAGTTCTACTGGAGACTCACAAATCACACCAGTGAATGTACGTTTAATTCGGTTCAAATCACCAGAGACTAGCTTTCCAACCTTGAGAATATTTTTATTTTTTAAAAAGTTTACCAAAGAAACAGGTAGAGTATTCCAGATATTGGTGACATGAAGAATGATAACCTCTTCATCATACGCAATTTGTATGGTATCAATCCCGTTGTTGGAAGTGTTCGTTTCCTCATTATAGCTCCATTCACAATCAAATCCTACAGCAGGTGTGTTGCTAGGATCTAATGAAATTCGTTCATTTAACTCAGCAATGGCGTGTTCCATTTCGTGAAATTGCGTGATATATTTGACCTTTACAAAATCAGGTAAATCCATCTCTGGGTATATTTCCAAAGCGGCGTTGGATTCATTTCCGTATCTCTGCTCTTGAACACCTGCGGTCAAAGATGGAATGACGCTTTCAATAAACCGTCTATCAGCACGTACATCGTCAGTAAAAAAAACAGTGGGAAGCTCGTGTCCGTACATCTTGTAAGCCTCATACATTTTTTCAAATGACCATTTCAAGTACGAGTGGGACTTGGATGGAACCAATGACATCAACCGAATTTCCTCGTACTCATTGACTACTGTATAAAGTGCTGTGAAGGCACTGGATTTTTCGATCTTGGCAATATGGTTAACTAAAAATTTCAATCAGAGTTAATTGATATAATTGGTGAGTGGTGGTGGCATTACCAATTTTGAAAGAGTGATCACCACGAATGATCTTTCCACCAGTCAACATGAGCATCTTGTCCATAAATGGTCTTAATTCTTTCAATGATGCTTGTATAAAGCGTTCTAAAGTAGACAGGCGTTGGAACATAGCCAGCATATCCTGATTGATCGTCAAAAGATGAAAAGGGTGCGTAATGGTGGGTGCAGATTTGAAAAAAGCCCCAACCCCTTCAGCTTCCTTTTTCTTCTTCTTCAATACATTTGTCAGGTAGATCAACTCCAGTCTATCATGCTCGAGCATATGAAGCTCTCTAATGATTTTAGAAAAAATCTTTGGCCCGACTGAATTTTGCACACAAGGTCTAAGAAGATCTGCGACTTCACGAGATACCGCACCTTTATGGGTTATTATTCCAGGGAAAGCCTCTTGCAACTCAACTGGAAGTTGTGCCATCAATTTAGGATCATGAGCATTAAAGGTTATTTTACATGAAGAGCATGCATATCGGTATGACATAATATAAAAACATCTAGGGAAATAAATAAAAACGTCTAAACCTATCTGAAATAACTTATTTACCTTGTTAGACCTACTGCGCGCCTTGCATGTGGATCCTTATAGTAGCCTTTTGACGTAACGTTTCCAGAACAGTGTTCCGAAATACATTTCAGATCTTTATAGCCATTTTGCAGGAGATGGTGAGGCTGCCAAAGGAATATGTCTGGCTTGTATAATTCACTTAAAGGGTTTTTAAGCTGCATAGCAAAATACGTATCCATGGGACGAATCCAAAATGTTTTCGAAGAATAAGGAGGAGGATACTTAGCCTTTGATAAATCGGATTGAACTTTTTCAAAATACTGGAATAAGGCACTGTTTCGATTCAGATTTTCTTGAAATTGTTCACTTTCGGCGTCGTTATCATCACCATCATCCTCGTCGGAGTTATCCTCATCAACTAAAGAATCACTCGTCGAAAAATTGCCGTCAACAAGGATGGATGCTTCAGGAACATCAATAGCTGAACTTGTCAAATTTTGAGTCTATATAAATACAATATCAGTAACGCATACATTTAAACCCAATATTCAGTATTACTGTTATTTGGTTAATGTCACTCTCAATATATTGAGTGTGCTCCGGGTTGACAGAAGTCGAGTTGCTGTCACTTAGAAAATTTGAAATAGAGGCTTGCATACTTTGCATTACAGCTTTCTGTTTTCCCTTGTTCTTTTTTTGATTGATCATAAAAAAATAAATTAACAAAGAGAAAGAAAGCGTATGATAGAGCCATTTCAGGATTACTCTTATATAACATATCCATATTAGGGAGAGCCCCTAATGCATTTTTTCCTAATGTTGTTAAGCATGAACAGTTTATTGTTAAAGCTTATGTCAGCAGGTAATATCTATTAAAAAAATTTATTGAAGTCGTACATTGGAAAAAAAACCAATCTTTGTATGTTGCAATTCGTATAATTTCATATCACCAACTGTTCGTAACCACTTCCTGTCCTGGTTGAAGCATTTTTTACAAATATTTAATTAGAGCCTTTGGATTACCATTTAATTGGCTATAAAAATTAATCACAGCCTTTGGATCGCATATTTATTGGATACTGAATTTTAAAATGAATCTCAGGGGCCAATAGAATTAGGATCCAAAGGTTTGTATTACCCCCAGCTATGTTATCCCAGCCTTTTTTTTTCACGTAGTGATTAAAATACCGACAGGAAAAATTGAAAATGTTCACGTCACTCTCTTTAATGTACTTTCAGGCACCGTTTTGTAAATTGATAAATGACTGAAAGTTTTTGACAGCTTCCTTCCTTTTCTTATTAGAACTATAATTGTATTAACATTAACCTTGACATTTGTAATAAACTCAAAGAATGTTCTCTCAATCAAGAAGCACTCGCGACGAAATGCATTCTGAATTCAGTGTTCAATTTTGCGTCGGACAACATTTTGAAACGAGAGACGATTTAAAAAAGGCTATTCGAGATTTTGGAAACAAATTTAATGTCATATTTTCTATTGCCAACTCTCATCCTGCCAATGGAGACTTCCATTATATATGCAAACACGGTGGTGATAAGCGTATTTTGTTGAAATCTCCTACAGTCGAAGATTCCGGCAACAAAAGCGAAGAGAAAGACGAGGATTTAAAAAAAATATAAAAAAAGCACCCAAAAACTCAAGTGTCCCGCTTTTATTAAGTTATACAACTTCACAATCACTAGATCCCAAATGGAACACAACCATCCCATTTCTCAGAATTTCACAACTTACGCTATCAATCGCAAACAGAGTCCAAAGATCATGGAACGTATCTATAGTATTTTGGCTAGTGGCCATAAGGATCCTGTAACTAGCGTTATGGATGTAAGCATCAAATCATTTACAAACAATTAGATCATTCTCACTGACTGATTTTTTTAGACATTGACTGCCTTGGGTATCAACAACATGATTAAAAAGGATATTCAAAACATCCAAACCTTGTTCTTGAAAAATGAGGACGGGAAAGAAATGTATTCTTTAATCACCCATTTGGAAGATATTGAATATGTTGTTCGAATCCAGGTCAAGCCAGATCAAGAAGTCAAAAGCGTTTTTTTTATTCATGAAGATGCTATATACGAGACAAGAAGATGGCCTGAAGCAATCACTATTGACGCAACATACAAAACAAACGCACACAAGTTTTCGTTGATCAACCTTGTTGGAACTAGTAATGTATCCTCAGTAAGAGGTACAAATAGATTACAAACATTTGCTGTGGCTGCAGCTTTCGTAAATGCCGAGACGGAAGCCGCATATATGTGGGTTTTTGAGGAATTGAGAAATGCTATCTGGCCCGAGGAAAAAAATTACGAGCTTCCAAATGTATTTGTTACAGATAACGAAAGAGCATTAAGAAATGCTATCGATAATGTTTTTCCAGAAAGCCACCATCATTTGTGTTCTTGGCACTTATGGAATACTATGGAAACTAAACTTCCAATTGGAAAAGTAAATGCCGTGGAATATAGATACCGTCGTTGTCTTGCTGAAGAACAGTTTAAAGCTATTGTCGGAGGCAATAAGGAACAACAATACCTCGATGCTGTTTCCAAATTTGAGCAGATAGTTACCCAAACTGACTGCTTTAAAGACAATGGTAGATCTGCCTTGATTTATTTGAAAGAAGTGTAAGTTCGTGATTTATAATCGTGGTTGGGAATTATATCTTAACTGAGCATTTATACAGTTTGCTTGAAGAAGACGAAAAGAAGCACTGGGTTGGTTTTTATGCCAACCAGTTTTCTCATATGGGAAATCGTACGTCAGCAAGAGCAGAGAGCTTCCACTCCGGATTAAAAAAGGCTCTGGGAAACCAATCTGCGGCAAAATTAGCTATGACCACAGGACGTATGCATGCATACTATCAGAAGAAAGTAAGCAGTTTTTGATTGTTAAAAGAAAAAAAGAAAACCCCCATATGATGCATATGTTCACGTTTTCTCACTTTTTAGAGAGATGAACGTTATCGAAAGATGGGTATTGAAAGAATTAGCATTGATGCTAACGTCTTTGACAAAGACATGGAATACCGATACGAAAAGTTGAAGTTCAAAGTCGTTCGTTTTGCAATGGACAAAATAAGAGAAAACACGATCTATTCTCTTCGAACTGGATTTGTGACAAGAGGAGAGAACTGTAACTGTGCTGATCGTATCAATTACAAGCTACCTTGTCCCCGTGTAATTGCTGCAAATTCGGATGTTCTTCCTCTCGAAGTAGTCGATAAGCGCTGGAGACTTGAATTTGATGAAAGTAAGTGAATATTTTTATAAGATTCCACACATACTTAATTATCATTACTAGATTTTGATGGATTAGAAGATAAGTATAGCTTAGATAAGACGGTTGAGGAGAAAGAAGAAAAAGAGGGTAAGTTAAATTACAAAGGGTTTGTCAATATGGGTGTGTGTTTGTGTATAGAGAAGGATAGATAGTATATACTATATAGTTCCAGTAATTTGTCTTGAATCTATGAGTATTTAAATAAATCTTGTATTAAGCATAGTTTATGCTAATTGTTACTGTATGTTTCGTAAAGCTACTTTTTATAGAGATCCCAAAAAAGAAGAAACTTCTGTCCAACATGATGATAAAAGTGATGTTGTTTCAGTCTTATCAGTCAGTGATGAGGAAAAAGATAATGATTGCAGATTCATACCACTTGCGGATGATGAAAAAATCGAACAAAAGCAAAATAGCGAAGGTAAGTTCATTGTCTCTCACATGAGTAATGATATGTCATATCATTAAGACTGTATGAAATATGTACCAAACAAAATATAGTAAATAATAACATTTATAAATTAGAACCCGTAGAAAGAAGAACCGGTAAGACGATCCTAACTTCTTGCTGGGCAATGAACCTTATAAGAAAGTGCGCTAACAATTCTTTAATTACAATAACAAAATGTCATATTCAGACGATCATTTGTGTTATCGAAATGATAGAAAACAACTAATGTTAAAAGTTGAGCAGGTCCTTCACAAAATGTATTCTTCAATTGCAGACTTCTCTACGCAGCAGCAAATAGCAGATGCATTGACTGTTTTAGAAGAAGCTAATGATAAAATTTTAAATCCTGCTATCAAAATAGATCAGTTAAAACCTCCTACAACTAATTCCAATAGAAAAGGCAGACCCTCTGCACAAGGAGTAAAAAGTGGAACCAAACGACTGCAAATAGCAAAAGAATTGTTTGAAGAAAGTCAAAAAAAGGACATTAAAAAAGAAGAAAAGAAACAAAGAGAAGAAGAAAATATGGAAAAGAAAAGAAGAATCTTAGAGATAGAAGAAAGACATGTGGCTTTGGAGCAGAAGAAAAGAAAACTAACTTTGGTTTTTAAAAACAAAGAAGAAAAAGCGCACGCCACCAGCATTAAACATACACTTATGAAGGCAGATAAGAGGATCAATTTGAGTAAGGAAAACTCAGCTGGATATGATAGGTGAGAATCAGACGAAAGGAAAGACATTCAATAACATGTCCTAAACATTTTTTTAAGGGTATTGTCTTATCGCAATTTAAAAAGCGATACCGTCTTCAAGTGGATTCAAGTCAGCCCCATAAATTCAGTGGCTGCCATCCACAGTGTCGGGGCAGATGGTAATTGCGGATTCCGAGCAGTCAGTTATGATGTGTATAAAACACAAAGTAACTGGATAAATGTCAAAGAGGATATGTTGAATACATATCTCAAGTATAAAGATTCTTTGTACAAAGCTGTAGGAACAGAAGCCGTGGTAAATTACGAAGAGCAGAAGATGCTTACCAAGCTTCTTACAATCAAATCGCCCTGCCTGTTACCTGAGGATAATGTGCTGTGGTTCAGCACTTTTGTCTGTCCACAGATTGTGGCCGATACGTATGAAAGGCCAGTTTTTTTGTATGGTTATACAGAAAATGTATTGAAAAACAGGTGAAGTGCGTACGATCTACGAGTCTCAAGTATTCATTCCACTCGTGCACATGGAATTAAGTGCTCGAGAAAACCCCATTTCGCTCCTTCTTTCGTCCTCGCATTTCTATTATGTTGAGTTCGCTCGCACTCCAAAAGGCAGAATGAAGAAATTTAAAAAGCCTGTTTTGAATCACGATCATAAACGACTCATGAATGCTCACCCTGACATTTGCAAGACTGATTATTCAATTTTTTTTTTATTAAATCCAAAATCTTAAACTACTACCAAACAGCAACATGTGTAAAAGAGTCTAAGCTTCTTTGCTTCAGAAAGGAGTCAGGCACAAACCCAAAAGAGTGACGTGAACATTTTCAATTTTTCCTGTCGGTATTTTAATCACTACGTGAAAAAAAAAATACTACGTGCAAATTCTACGTGTATCAAGAATTAACCAAAAAAAACGAGCTTTTGTTAGACAAAGTATGTTTTACACATGTTGAATATTTTTCAAAACTAGTCCATAAGATGCGCCTGATTTCCATTATAAAGTATGGCAATAAAAGTCTCTTCGCGCCAGAATCTGCATTGATGGTTAAATGAACCATTGTATTTTCTTCCTCTTAGAAACTAGATGAAAGCAAATCACGAATGAACATTTTTGCACATTGTATTACCGTTTTCATAATATAAACATATTTGAACAGTCTTGCTGGATGTTTTCTGATATAACATACGATGATAAAAGTTTTGAATTACAGAAGTCTTCATTGAGAGATGTCATATTTTTTACTCCATAAGGCGCTTGTTTTTTTTCGGTTTAACGAAGATTACTCGACATCATGACGTAGAAAACCTGCATACCAATCAGAATGTTTGAAATCCAGCGCATGTTTTTCAATTAAACCGGACAGTCCAAGACGGATTGTCGCTATCCAAACCTAAAGGTCATTTTCACCCGCTTAAAGTACTACGCACAGCCAAAAACAAGCCTAGCCAGCTTAAGGCCAGGCATGGCCAATGAGAATGCGTCCCTGCTATTTACTGTTTAGCCACAGCTAATTAGAGTTCATTCACACTTATTTACAGTGTAATCACGTCATTTACAGTGTATTCGCAGCCATTTACAGTGTATTTACAGCTATTTAGAGCCTGATCCCAGCTATTTACAGGCAGTGTAGTTGTGATATATAAACTCCGGGGTTTTGCGGTGGGTTTCACAAAAAAAATGATGTTTTGACTCTTTTTCGAATCGACTTTTCTTTTTCGATTTTTAAGCAGGGGAAAAAAACTTCAATGTTTTTTAAATCCAAGGGTTCAGTAATATT